GCTAAAAGACAGCTGATTTGAGAAACTGAGACTGAAAAAGCTCAACATTTGACGAAATATCTCCCATTTTATATATGAAATGTCTCCGAAAATCAATTATTTATGTTATAAATAACAGATTTGTTAATATGGATGGGATGTTTAGACAGATTAATAATTATTGATGCGAAGTTCAAATGAACATTTGAGGTAAACATTCTTAACAATGCCATTTTTCGACAGTTCAATGCTGAGAAAAATTACTGCTCGGTACAAATATCAAATTGTACGTCTTAAGAACAATAAGAGCAACGAATCTTCCTAGCGTCGAACTGCAAGAAAATGGTCTTTAAATACGACAAATAATTTCATCCGGTTGTATATCCGGAAGAAGCAGGTGGTTGATATTGAACACGCTGAACTGATGGAATGAAACCGCTTTGACCGCCTCCACCGTAAGACATCGGATAACCGGCCGATTGCACTGGGTAGCCCATTGAAGGAAAGCCGAAACCGCTATATGGCATCATCATTCTGAATACCAACAACTGAACATCAAATGATTTGTTCATAAGCTCATAAGCAAATCAAAACTTCCCACAAAAAACATTCATTTATGCTCAAAATAACAGTGTCTAGTAATAAGGAGCAGTGAAAGCAAAAAGAACTCGATCAATTGGATGTGATTCCAGTTGGATGCTAACAAGAAACTAACCCTCCACCACCCATTCCCATGCAACCTGACATCGACGAACCACACGATGGCATTCCTCCACCCATCAATCCCATTCCACCAAGACACGATGAACTTTGCTTAACCACCAAAACTATCAAGAAGATAATCTGCAAAAATAAACATTATTGACAAACTCAACCAAATAGATGACAAATCTGCATTGCTGCAGCTGCTAATTGCTGCACTAAAAATCTATCATCAACTAATTTTGAATTACTTAAAATTTCGCTCTATATCTCAGAGAATGACCTCAGATCTATTCGATCTACAATTTCATTCTATATCTCAGATCTGTTTAAAGTCGTGTTATCGCAGTTAATCGTAATAGCGGTCACGATGATTACGTCCGAAAACAGTCAGTGAGGATAGCCAATTCGTTAGCACATGACGAATCACCGAATTCGGGTAACCGGTTCGGAAATTTTGAGATTACATTCATAACTTTCATGCTGGAGAGCAGCGAATCGAAAGACATCGAATTTAAGTCTTTTATTCAGGTGAATGATGCTCATCGACCATGAAAAGATGTCAATTTGCCAGGCAAATTGATCGCATTCACATAAATTTCAAGGAAAAAACGATTGAAAAGAGATACTCACCGCTCTGGTCCATCGAGCACTTTTTGTGAGCATTGTGACACAGTGGAATTAAGCAATCTGATGCGTACGGCAAATAGGAAAATTTTTTTGCCAGATATTTATTCAATGTATAGCATAGGAACAGCTAATTTCTACGATTCCAGCGAGTTGATAAGAATACACTGACACAATACTATTGCACAATATGATGTGGGATTCAGAAATACGAACTGATCGTTGGAGCGAATGTATTGATACAATTTTCTCCATGTTCACAGATTACCGCTGAAGAACTTGATTTTGTTTGCTACGATCGAAACTCGATTACGCGAATACAATTGTTTGGTACTCTTTTTGGATACAAATAATCAAATTTGGTTATTTAATCGTTTCACATCCTCACATAAACGATTGATTGATGGATTGATTGATTTAACCGCTCAAGCATGCAGGCATTTCTATTTCGGCTTACAATTTTTTGCTGAATGATATCGCTTCCGCACTCATGCAAATAACTTCAAATTCACGTTTTGATTACCATAAATACACATCAGTTTGTTTATTTTGGACTCAACGCTTTTGGAACACATTATTTTGAATGCTATTAGATATGTGCACGAAACATACTCGATAACGCAATACGAAATATTGTCAACGACAGAAAAGCGCAGATGTGCTTAAGAGAAATATTGCTTGAGAAAATAACAGAAATGAGTGCGATTTATGCAGCAGCGACTGTTGATGATTCAGTGCGATACTTTCGCCTATACAGTGCATCAGTCTGCAGATTTCGATGGAATCTGAGACGCATGTTCCATTGTTTTTGAGGGTATTGTACGCANCCAAATTTCAAAAATAAGCGTTACCAAAAGTTCGAGAAGGAATTTATCAAACAAATCAATTTGTTACGAACAATCAAGCATCTTGAAAACATTCCTGAACAACCTCAGGGGTAAGCTGGAAAGGAAAACCGACCAGCATTGATTTGCCGATGCTGTGATTTCCGAACGACAACAAATGATCTTTACGAGCTGCGGGTTCTGCTCGGGCAGTTAGGCATCATTCGACGATTTTCAATAGCTGATTGCTCTTTTCAGTGTTACATCGGACAACTTTCAACTTCTTGACCGTACAATTGTACTGGAAGCTTAGCGAACAAGACGAAATCAATGATTCTGATTTTTCACAGAGATCAGGCTTTCCGAAAACGGAGATTTCAGGATTTTAACCTGCAAATTTTTATTCTGAGAGCAGATAATTCTCAGAAGCTTGCGAAACTTTCTTCAAATCTCGTGACTATTCCATGGAAGTGTGATAAAATGCAAGTTCAATAAAATACACAAGCTTCGTCTATATTCCCGACATTCGTTGCGAAAAATGGGACCAAACATGGGGCAACACAAAGAAGAAAGATCTGTTCGGGTGTCGATACTGGGAAAAAACGAGAACGACAGACTGCAAGGGTTTTTTGAGTTAATTCGAAAATGTTGCGCAAGAAAGGAACTTGTTGAATGAATGATACACATTTGCAACAGTTAATGAATTTCAAACGAATAATTTACTAGTTAATTTTATAATTGGATGCCTGATTGTTTCTTGCCTGCTCGCCTAGCCAGCGGGGTGGCGTAAATTGAGACTAAAACAATGTGCACGGAAACGCGAACATTGTGGCCAGCAACGTTACAAACGTTTGATAGCCTGGCCAATCCAGGTAATCCAGGTAATTGCTTCTTGCATGTACCGGCCACAAAACAGGCGTTTTTCGCTGCCGCCCGGTGATAGAAAGCCAATCTTTTCAGGCTAAGCATGAACGAATAACCATTAAATCATCGCCTAAACGGCTCTCAAGGGCCTACTCCTCCCGCTTCACCGACATCTCACCGATATCTTATGGAATAAGTTTACATTTGTTCAAGTATCCCAGAAGTATGGTGATAAAAGACCGACAGAATATGAAGTCCCTACAACTAGGCGGAGAAGCCTGGTCAAATCACAAAGTGCGTAAGAGCAGATCAGTTTCACCGGTTAAGTAACTCAATTCATTTGAAGACCCCAAGCGAATGAATCAGTTAACTCGCTGAGTACGCTCAACAATGGGATATTTGTGATAAATATGCGAACGGAATCATTTCTTGGTTCAATTAACGTTTTGAAACTGATAATGTCACAACGGATCTAATTGTACTCACCTTTCTCGTTGATTTAGATTCGTAAATTTTGTAACATAACTATTTTTTGAGATATTATTTTAGGGAATTCAGGGCTATTCTGCCGAAATATTTCATATTTTCAAAATGAATAATTTCATTTCCACGTATTATTGACGCATGTAAACGAGATATTGATCGGCACGGAGTTCCGAATCACTTTATCGGGTGTAAAGTAGGAGAATTTTTTTTTAAATTTTAGGCCAGTCAAACTAGAAACATCTCTCAGATTTTCGAGTTTAACTGTGGATTTTTTCGTCCCTTCGTTCGTTTCAGTTATTTGTGTTAAGAAACTGAGAACATTCGTCAGAGTGTGACGAATCAGTGAAGCATTCAGTAACTGATTCGTCTAGTCCGCTATTGCTCTCACATTGTCAAAGACAACATTTTTGTGTACAATTTTACAACCAAGTGATAATTCAACTTTGCAATTTCGAGTTTTCATAAAAAATTAACAATTTTGAAAGAATGCTAAAAATTTTTGCCCGTGAATTTAGGGGTTTTTTGGTTTTAATTTGTTTTCTCGAAGGTTAAGATGAAAAAATCGTAACCNAAACCACTAGCTGATTGTGGAGTGAAAGATCGAAATATGTGTATTTGCAGACCAAATGGAAACAAATGGACCCATGGCATTTATCGGCTTTTCATTGGCAGCTTAATAGCATTTGGTATCTTTCAACAGCTGGTTCGTTGCAAATTAGATGAATGCCAGAATTTGCACATTATTCGCCGATTTTTCCAAGAACGATGATGCGAAGTATTAGGAATGGATGTACACACATTTAGAATTTAGAGCTGTTCCTCACTTTCTGTTCAGTGTAAACTTTTTTTTATCATTATGGTTGGACCGTGAAACTTCATCAGAATTCTTAGTTCCTCGTAGTAACTAAAACTTCAGAATGACTCAAAAACTTACACACTTTGTGCAGCATTCACGATTAACAACCCATTCTTGTTGATTGTATGATTTCGTTCGAACCAAACGCCGTTAGCCAACTCATTGCATGAATATTTTACTTGACCAGTCTATTTCGCTGAGTATATGTTAATCTCGGCTTATCTCGTGGCCGAATGAGGCAGTTGTTCGGTAACAGTTGACAGATCAGCTTTGTCATCAATAGTGCTTACCAGATGCTTCATTCCATGTAATTTAGTGATGGGATCCGAGGGAATTTTCGTTCAGTGGGAATCTGACCCAGTTGGCATTTCGTTATTCCGACATTCGGAATTCCGACCGAAAATGTCGGATTTTTTCGACCGACTGTCGGTTTGATCCCATCACTAATGTAATGCGTCGTTTATGCCTTGATCACATGCTGGAAATCTATCGTGGTAGACCTTTTTACCATCAAATTCGTTATCTCCACGTATTGAAAGAATTCATTGGCTTGCTCTACTCAAGCTCACACCCCAACGATCACCATCAGTATTGTATGAAATTGTGCATGTGAAAGCCCTCTAAAATCACAACATTTCTAAATCATCTGGGTAATGAGTTGCTCTGGGTAATGCAAGAAATACGATGAACTTATTTTAGGTACCTATTGCTAATGCCTTGAAACAAACATTAATCGACGGAAAGATGTCCAATTGCTTGATTGTGCCCTGCTGAATAAGCCATAAATAGCTGCCATCCTCGTTTTGAAGAAATTATTTTCACTTCAAATATACTTCAGCCTCTACAATGAATATTCCTGTATTTTTAGGATAGCCAAAAATTCTCAGCATGTTCAGTACCACAAAAGTGTAAAAAATATTTCAGATTGCCCAACTTTATTCAAAATCTTCAAATTCAATTCAATCACAGGTCCCAGCTATCTTAAATTATGTTTGCACACAGCCATATGAACAGAGCGTTGTTGGTTAAAAACTGCTTTGTAACGTTAAAGCGGAACATCGAAACGTTAAACTGATCAATTAATGGTGATCAAATTATCAACTTTTTACAGCACTGCTGCAGAATCAAGCGGACGGGTTGGGCTGGTAAACAGGCCCATTTTGCATACTTTTGATTGCGTATGTTTGTTAGTTATTCTAAAAATTCGTTCAAATTCCTCATTTAATTACTTGATTGCTTGATTTTTTTTAATAACTTTTGCGTAATTGATTTAGCAGCAATAATCGCTATCGTCACCAATGAGTTCTGCAACCGTTTAATTAAACGGCAGCATCATAAGCGCTATTAATGGCTCGATTGAAACGTTCATGCGTCCGTAAATGTTCCATTGCAATTGTTTCGTTGCTTTCATATGATCACAAACATATATTCGTATGGCAACGTTCGTGGCACGATGAAGCGGAACGTGTCGGAAGTGCTTGTTCAATATTGTGATTTGGTCTCTTCTATCACGATCGCCATTAATATTGCACATACACTCAACAATTACAAACTCTGTGTGTGTGTGACACTTGTGTGTAAACGATACGTTGACATAGAAGGGAACCGGCCTGCATTCATTAGATGTTAACGAGTTTATACACGATACCCATTGTGTAAGTTCGTCACCATTCATTAATTCATAAGTTTGCTCAATGTAATCAGTAAATCGTTAAATTACACTCATTTAAAGGATTAAATAATAAAACTTGTCACGAAAAGAACTTGATCGAATGAATGCAAATAAGACGCTTTTTCGAAATTTCATATACATCACAGTCATCACCACTTACACGAAAACATCTTTCTGGGGTGTTAGAAGATTTCTGAGCAGTTTGTCTAGGCATCAGAGCCTATAGCAGGTAATATTTGCCAGTGATTTCGGAATCCCGGCTTCTGACTTTCTGATCCCTGTCCGGGGATTTGGGTTCCGAGGAATCCCGAGAATCCCGAGGCAAAACGCCGCCGAG